TGACGGGAAGGTCCGTTTCGGAGTTCTCGTTCGTTAGATCCACAACTGTTGACGGGTCCGTTTCGGAGTTAAGACAACCGTACATGCGTAACTCCAGTCATCCGTTCTGTGAGCAGCCATTTTCTCGAATTTACTGAATTGTATTGGTTGGTGCCAAATATTTCGACGGCAACGCCAAGTTCAGCACGATTTTGGTGCAACATTCTCTGGTTATGTCGGTATTTGTACGGCGAAGAAAATGTCTTGGCCTTCGGACTTGACAGTTTCCTTGTAATTTTTCAGCAGGTCAAATGTAGCCATATGAGCCGTACGTCCCGATAACGTTTCGACGAAAGTTCACAAGTTATAAATTACATACCGACTGTCACGTGTTTCGTAAGAACCTGAACAGCAGGCTCGTGGTCACTTGAGCAAACGAAACACTGGGGACTTGAACCCGACCTAAAGCTATCACCTTGTCGTGGTGGTCGGACTTCTGTGCTGCAATGATCGTGCATGCTATACTGGCTGGAATCTCTTTCGGTAACTGATGACCTCAGTGGATAAGGAAAAATTGTTCTTGAAAGTAGCTGGTTGTTGAGAGAAGATCATATCTATATCATCATTATCAACTGTAAGAACCGCGTACTTGTCGTACAGTGATTGGCTACGGAACTGAGCTCAAGGTATTTCATTATGGACTGGAAAGTCTGTGGTTTGAACTCAACCTCAGCATCTCGACTGCTACTGTCTAAGCACTGGCAATCTGGCGGTATCTCAGCCCTAGTGCCTCCGTTGGCATGACAGCTAGGCACCGAAAGGGTGCTACAGCTTAACAATTGGGAAGCGAGGCTAAAACTTCGAGGAATTGAGGGATGGTGCCATCAACCTAATGTAAAAGAACCTACCATCATAAATGAAAGTAATACAGAATCAACAAACGAATCAATACTGATGCTCATTGTTATATCATCATGTTTAAGTGGACTGTTCGAACTCGAGATGGACTCTTGAGTAAACCCCTAATCTCTCTACCGGCGTTTCCGTGGTTCAATCCCAACCTCTGCATCTCGGATGCTTTTCTCTATGCTTGGGCAAATTCGCGATATCTCGGTCCTGGTGTTTCCTTCAGGCATGGCAGCTAAGCAGCGAAAATGTTACAGCTGAACGAACAGGCATGTCAGTGCTTTCCTGTCAGCCTTACTCTCTCGGATTTACACCGGTTGTCTGCACGTAACACTGCATTGGGCTCCGGTGTAACCCCTCGTGGTTGGTCTAGTATGCACACTCGTTCGTTAGATCCACAACTGTTGACGGGAAGGTCCGTTTCGGAGTTCAGACAACCGTACATGCGTAACTCCAGTCATCCGTTCTGTGAGCAGCCATTTTCTCGAATTTACTGAATTGTATTGGTTGGTGCCAAATATTTCGACGGCAACGCCAAGTTCAGCACGATTTTGGTGCAACATTCTCTGGTTATGTCGGTATTTGTACGGCGAAGAAAATGTCTTGGCCTTCGGACTTGACAGTTTCCTTGTAATTTTTCAGCAGGTCAAATGTAGCCATATGAGCCGTACGTCCCGATAACGTTTCGACGAAAGTTCACAAGTTATAAATTACATACCGACTGTCACGTGTTTCGTAAGAACCTGAACAGCAGGCTCGTGGTCACTTGAGCAAACGAAACACTGGGGACTTGAACCCGACCTAAAGCTATCACCTTGTCGTGGTGGTCGGACTTCTGTGCTGCAATGATCGTGCATGCTATACTGGCTGGAACTCAGTTCCTAAAGGTTCAGCCATGCCAGGAAGGCCAAAGGGGAGCAGCCTGACAAAGAACGACGAGTTCGCGTACTGCGAGTAATCGTAATACGGGGCGGTTTGGAGGTAAAGTCGTACTGTCTTCTGCGACAGGAGTGTGAAGGCAGTAAGGTGCTTCCCCCAATGAAGGACGCGTTAGAAAAGGTCGGCCCCGAAATCCGCACACTCCTATCCTTCAACGGTTGACCGTGACCGCTGGCGCCTTAGCCAATGCGGTCGAAGTATTTTTAAAATCAAAGAGCCCGGTGCTGCTCAAAAGGCACCTGCTGTGCGCAGCCGCATCAGGAATGAGACAGTAATGCCCTACTCCCTGCGCCCTCGGGCCAGGCCGACCCACTACAGCCAAGTCAGTCGGACTATTGAGTCATTGGCTCCTGAAAAGGCCCCACAAGAAAACCCTAACAACTGCTGTCTCGCGGTTCACACTTTCGAGTCAGAGGCTATTTGCAGGGCGCCCAAATAAGGCCTGCATCCTCCCACTGCCTTGTGGGTCAGACTTTTGAGTCGAAGGCTCAAGGTGGGGTACCTCAACTGAACCCCCTCTTTCGTCCTGGGCAACCGGAAGTATCATTTACCCTTGCAGCTTTTCGCTCACCGGCCTTCTCTCTCATTCCTCCCAACCCATCGTACAGCGTAGTTCAATCAACCCACCTTCCAAACACCTTAGTCACTGTCCCGTGTCTCAACTATCGCTCAGAAAAATAAACCAAAACAATCACCTATTAACCTCAGATCTTCACTGCCCGTACTCTGTGCCGAATTGGGCAACAGGCATCCTCTGCTGATACCCTACTTTCCCTCTCTATCGATATATATTGTGTCTCCAAAGCACGCACACAAGACTCCACTTCGGTCATGCACATCAAGCCGCTTAGGACGAGCCCAGATGTTCTACATTTCACTCTTCGAGCATCCGGTGATCCTGATGCAATGGCTCGTGGTATCTACGGTGTTGGAGTTTCACTCTGCTTCAAGGCTGAAAGCTGGACTGGATCCCAGTAAACAGTCGCCTTTGCGCCGTGCGGTTGTCTGGTAAACGGTGTTTGTTTGTCGTATCAGCATACACCCCAGCAGATAGCAGATCTGGGGCTGAGAAGAACGAGTTTTATCAAGATCTGTCACGGCTGCTTGGGTCGGCAAGAAGGACTGATGTAGTAATCCTGGCGGGCGAGGCAGGTATCAGTACGACAATATTCAAAATAGACGGAACAGCAATTCATTCCCTCAATCGCCATCTTGAGCGGTGGCTGAGCACTTCCAAGAACGGTTTACTGGTCCTTTCCAACACAATCACTGGAAGAACCAAGCAGGCCCGAATGAAGCATTGACATCAACGCACCATCAGCAACCGAAATCCAGCATGAAATTTCAATCCTGAAGCGCGACAAGGCACCTAGCCCAGACAGTCTACACCCCACATTCCTCAAAGAAATAGGCGAGGTCCTGGTGAACAGTCTGACAGCCCTACTGAAGATTTGGAACAAAAACATAATACCAGCCGAATGGAGCTCTAGGACCGTCATCCCAGTTTTCAAAAAGGTAGCAAGAACGTCATGTGAAAACCATAGTGGTATCAGCCTGGTATCCGTCGCATCTAAAATGCTCTCTGGCATTAGTTTACGCAGGTTAATGGATTATCTTGAGAGAGATTCGTGAGAATCAAGCTGGGTCCTGGCCGAGAATGCATCGACCATATCTTTACCTTGAGACAAATTCTTGAACAGCGCCACTCCTTCAGACGTCCCACGTTGGTCGTTTTTCTTGATTTGAAAGTTGCTCTTGATTCTGTCGATCACCAGCCACTTTGACAGTGTCTGGCGATCAAAGGTTTCCCTTCCAAGTTTTTCTCCCTTATGAGGGCACTGCACGCGAATTCCTGTGGGCGCCTGAGTTTACTAGGTCCAGTGGTGTAAGACAATGGCTGTCCTCTCTCCCCTTTCCTCCTTAACTTTGTTATTAATATGCTGCTTGAAATTTCTATGCCTTTCTCTGAAACCTCGGGAGTCGAAATGCTTCCGGTAAGTTCCCTCAAAGACATTGAGCATGCAGACGATATTGCTTTCCTTGGTTCAAATCCCTAAATGCAAACCATTTTAAATAAACTTACTAACTCTGCCGCACGGTTTGGTGTGCCTTTCACACCTGCAAAGTGTAAAGTGCTGCTACAAGACTGGGTGGGAACAAACCCACAACTCATGATTGCAGGTGAGCCAATCGATGTGGCAGATAAGTTTTTTTTACCTGGGCAGCTGTATAAGTTCCGGTGGACTGGCTCGAGATGAGATTATTTCTCAAATCAGAAAGGCCAGGGCAGCTTTTGCCAACCTCCGACACCTATGGCGCCGACATGACGTGGGTTTGCTTATCAAGGGAAGAGCTTGCACTGCGATGGTGCGACCCATACTGCTTTATGGATTAGAGACGTGGCCCCTACGCGCAGGAGACATACGGATGATGTCAGTGTTTGATCATCAGTGTCTCCTCGGCATTGGTCAGGTCTGGTGGGAACATCGAATTAGTAATTCTGAGGTACGCCAGATGGTCTTAGGAAGAAGGAACTCTCTCGCGATAGATGGATTACTCACGCTTCATAGGTGGCGCTAGTTGGGACATGTACTCCGCATGCCAGATGACCGTCTGCCTCACAGAGCTCTTTTATCCCAGCCCTGTGCTGAGTGAAAGCGACCGAGAGGTGGACAATATATGAACTGGTAGCGAATTACAAAAACATTAACCAGTAAACTTAGTCGGATGGGCAACTGCCGCCTCCCTGGATTGGGACTCAAATCACCAGTGGTTAATGACATTGGCGGAAATGTCACAACCAGTCAGTGGCGCCTGAACTGAACATGCCTTCGCCGAAAAGGTTTGGTTGTATATTCCACTTTCCTGTTTTCCGGTGATTGAAACTGTAGCAGCCGGGACCAATATATCGATGGTCCACGGCTTATAGCTGATAAATCGAATTGATTAGACTCGAATCCGTGTAGCTCAGCTGACAATCTAAACTACTCGTAGCCCCAGTTTAAAGTCCTCTGCATAGATTGCCGCTGGTGATCGTTTTTGGTTAGTTAGAACATACGAGGAGAATTAGCTTCGCTGCCTAAATCACCGCCACTTGGGTTTATCCGCTTTCTCCATTTCTCATATTGTAGGTGACAAATTGGCTACCTGCTTCTTGAATTTTTCGTCTTATATCAATGAATGAAACAAGGAGGAGGCTCGTTCCTCGGTTGCGTGAAACAGCTGTTGAGAAACGCAGTAGCGCCACTGACAACGACCATCCCATCGTTACAGTACATGATCCCAGAAACACGGATTTAGTTGGGTTGGCCTTTTGGCTCATAATTTCGGTGGCTGTTTTAGCAGGTTCAGTTGTTGTATCCCATGTGGGTCGTTCGGATCACTCCAGCGCTGCGCTGTTCCCACTTGATGTGAACCAGTTCAATGAGAGGAATGCCAGATCGCATCTTGTAAGGGTAACATCACTTGGCCCCCGCACCACCGGATCTGTCGCAAACGAAATATTGGCACCATCGTATTTTCGGCAAGTTTTGAGTGATATTAGTCAACTGGCGACAGTGTCGGGTCTAAATGCCAGTGTGGCTGAGCAGATTTCTGACTACGCGTCTTTCCGGGCCCAATTCCATGTGACAGCCTACAAAAACCTTCGCAATTTCATTCTCCGGTTGCATGATCCACGTGTGATTGGTGAAGGACCTCCTAGGAAGGCACTTTTGGTAAACTGTCACTACGATTCTGTTGTAAGCAGTCCAGGCGCGTCCGATGCGTTTGTCAGCTGCGCTGTAATGCTCGAAGTTTCCCGAGTCTTAGCAACAGGACACACAAGGCTGTTAAATGACGTCATCTTCCTGTTCAATGGCGCTGAGGAGTCTATACTTCCAGCGAGCCACGCTTTCATTACGCAGCATCCATGGGCAGGCGATGTGGCCGCCTTCTTAAATCTCGAAGGTGCTGGGTCAGGAGGTCGTTTGTTGGTTTTTCAGTCTGGTCCGGGAGCGGGTACAGACCTTTTGATGGATGCCTACTCCAAAGCGTTCAAACAACCTCATGCAGATGTCTTCGCGGAGGAGCTGTTCCAGTCCGGTACCCTTCCTGCCGACACGGATTTTCGAATCTTCCGAGATTTTGGCTTCATACCTGGATTGGATATGGCTTATACAACGAACGGGTATGCTTATCACACTCCGTATGATACCGAGTCACGAATACGGGCTGAGTCTCTACAAAAGACCGGTGAAGATATACTGTCATTTGTTTCCGTAGTCGCACAAGATGACAGACTGCGTAGCGTTCCCAAGTTGCCTTCCGTGAATACTACTTCTGCGAGTGGTGCATGGAATGATGAAATTGGTGGTATATCCTCTGACGATGTATCCATGAGTCACTTCCCGTTTACTAGTGTTTTGACTTCTCTATGGAATCGTTACGTTTATTTCGATGTGCTAGGTCTAATACTCGTACTGGTACCCTGGTCATCCTGGAAACTGTTCAATTGGCTCCTTTGTATTTGTGTTTGTCTACGGTTGTTGTTTCGAGCCTCAACGGAGCCTTCTCGTTTTTCTGGTGCTATCGCAGCGTCTGCCATTCAGCTCTGCAGTCATGTTTTGGGATTTTTATTCTCTCTGCTTTTGGGCTTTCTTGTTCATGCGTACGGGTGCCGGATGACATGGTACTCGTTCCGTTACAATGTGGTTGGTATATTTTTACTTCCTTTGATCTTCTGGTTTGTTTGGTTCCACACTTGCGCGTTTCGTATTCGCGATGGCTATATGAATCGTTTCAAACTTATTTCAAATTTATTTTCTAGCCTCGGTTGGGTAACAGATCATACAGTAAATTATAGGTTACTGGAGTATGATTTTTTCAACGGTGGTCTGCTCATTTTGGCCACTGTAACAGGATTGCTAAATTTTATGAATACCCCCGCAGTTTATAATTCTACATTTTGGCTGGCTACTACATTATCATTTCGGACTCTCTATGAATTTCTTTTTGGGTCCGGTCGACCTAACTCACTAACCCGGCTAGCTGTGACAATTTTGCCGGCGTTACTCACGCTCCACATGTATCTGTGCTCTAATCTCTTCGATTTCATTATCCCTGTTCTGGGACGTGCTGGGCAGGCTACCGCTCCGGACATTCTAGTCAGTGTTTTGGCTTTCTTCGCTCTGTCTCCGGTAGCTCTTTTTATCGCCGGTCCTCTCCAGTGCACGTCGAAGGAGGCGAGTAGGACGATGCGTTTGCTGCTACTCAATGGGTGTCTCTCCTATGCTATCTTGGTTCATGCCTCTCCATTTGGCTTTCCATACACAATTCCCAGTGGTTCAGACGCAAGCGATCCGTCGTTTAGCCCCCGACTTCAGCGTGTTGGTGTGTTTCACATAGACCGACGGTTTCGTGACCGGGTAGATTACAATGACATAACCAGTAGTGACAGTGTTATGCTGATATTTCCACTGGATAGCAATGGTGTTCGGTATCTGAAACCCAATTCATATCCATTCTCGGTACGATCTTCTCTGTTTTCACTCTTCTCTTCTGATGAGATGCAGAATCCAGTTCGGGACTACGGAGGACTCGTGGAATTGGTCGATAACTCACTTGTTGCATGTGATCGTTCGCGTCCCTATTGTGGGATAGCTGCAATGTATCCATATTTACATCTATTCAGTGGTGCATATTACATAAGATCCGACCCGCACATGTCTAAGCCGATGACCGCGTTAAAAGTTATTGCACGTGACGTAGTCGGAGAGCCAACCTTGGCAAATGCTCGCAAGCAGTGGAATTTCACCTTTTCGGTTGTTTCTGGCCCTCCTCACACTCATTTTCTGATACGTACCAATACTCCAGAAGTTCGACTAGTTGCGTGGTCTTTCACAACAGGCAGTACTGTCCCCATGCCTATGCCGCTTCCAGCACGGTCTCCAAGTGAGAAAGGAAGCACAGGGGCTCATTATTTCATCTATCACGTGGACGCTGCTGCTGTCAATAGTACCGAATCTCCTTGGCAAACCCCTTGGACCTTTTGGTTATCTGTTGACTTTATGACCAACACTACCACCCCTTACTTTGACGTAGCAGTGGCTGGTATATATATGGATGAAAGTTTGCCGTCTCACTCGTCCCCGCAACTTCGTCATTTTTTGGACAGGCTTCCCCCGTGGACCGTTGCTTTGACTTCGTGCGCTTCATATGATCATTATCGTTTAGGACTTTACTGACTCACAACTACGTAGGCTTTCGTTTGCTGCTATTTTATTCACCATCGCTAATCCTTGGTTCACATTCCTCTCTTGTTAACAGAGCGACTTCATAGCCGCTCGCCAGATGTACAACTTAGGAATACATCTTTAACCAGCACGGTTAACATGCCACCTCGTTTTTTTTGCGCTCGCGCTCCCAACTCGCTCGCCTTCCTGCTCGCCATGCGTCAATTACCCAATCCTGTTCATTTCAGATAGCGCTATGCCACACACAATTCTGCTTGTTCAACCTTCAGCCAAGAAGCCGGACACACGCACCTGGTCTGATTATGAGACGGTTGAACAGTGTCTAGAAGGAGTGTGCAAAATTTACGAGGAACAATTGAAACGTGAAAATCCCAACGCGCCAACCATCACTTACGACATTTCCCAGTTGTTCCAGTTTATAGACCAGCTAGCCGACTTGAGCTGTCTTGTCTATCACGAGCCAACCTATACCTATGTACCTCATCCAAAAAACTGGATCAAAGAGCAAGTGTACGTGTTACTGCGCAAACAGGCAGGCCAGTGATGAACTAACTACTCGAGTTGGCCGCCAATTTGCTACCACTGTCAGTCTCGTTGTGTTTTGAAAAGGCTTCATCACTCTGTGCTGTATGTAAAATAAATTCCATAATATGGTTCGTTCCCTTCTGTTCGTCTTTTTGCTCTAGTTCACCTATTCATTGATTATTACAGAAGGGACTGCTGGGAATTAGAGTGACGGTTTTCTCGAAGCTACTATGTTGAAGATCGTGCTTGTTTACCACCAGTATACCGTCACAGTGAACTGTAAGGTTGTTCAAAAGGATACTTGCAAATTCCTCCATGTTTTCAATTGTTCCAATTTCGCTGTGGCATAGGGAGACGTGCGGCAAACCAAAAGCATGCTCATTTAGTAACTGCTACAGAGTTATCGCCCTCTTGTTTTCTATCCACCCACATCCACAGCGTTTTGGTGTAATTATTCTGCCGGTCTGTACACCATTGGACGTAACACAAGCACAGCGAGTGTCGTGAGCTGTCAGTTCTGCAGAGACAAGTACCATTCACCTAGTCATCTCAATGGACTTGTTCACATCCGAAATCGCAAATCTGATGTTGACTTGAGTAAATTCTGTTCTGCATTCTGTGTTGGATTTTCAGTTAGTATGCCCCAGAATAGTAAATGCACTTGCGGAAATAGTTGATACATCCTAACCACCATACCACCCGCGGGTTGACAGTTAGTATGCCCCAGAATAGTAAATGCATTTGCGGAAATAGTTGATACATCCTTGTATTCTTGGCTTTTCGGCCGAGCCAGTACTGCCAGGAATGTCCCAGATGACAATATTACATACTCAGTTCAGTTGCTTCAGTTCATGCAAGAATGATTGCTTACTGCTCAATGTGCCAAGGTACGCGAGCTCCAGGCCTCTTCAAAATGAGGGCCTGCGAGAGTCAAACTTTTTTTTAGGAAACTGGCGTCTTTGCATGAATCGCATTGCACAGATGAGTAGTACAGAGACAAGAGTGATGTTGAGCACAAAGCACTCATGTCGACGTTGCCAAACCTCCTTTTTAAGGACACTACTAGTATGATATCTTCGGTTGTAGATGAACGATCGAGCCTTACAGGACACGCATTGTACTTGACTCCTTTGATGAAAGTGCGCATCCGTTCGCTCCGGCTGAAGCAGCATATGACTACGCTGCAGTGGGATAAGTTTGAAGCTATTGGTCAGCCGATTAGCAATTTCAGTTGCCAACTTCCTGGTACTTGATCATCGACTGTTCTTTCTATAGGCATATTTTCTGAACTGTTAAGCCAACTTAAAATAAAAAATAAATCGTAGCACCCTTTCAGTACCTAACCACCATACCATCCGCGGGTTGAACGAGGACAGATACTGCCAGGTTGCCCAATCCTAGACGGGAAGTCGAGAGGCAGAGGTCGAGTTCGAACCACGGACCTTCCGGTCAGTAAATTCGCTCTCTAACCACTTGGGCCATGTTGCCCCCCAACAGCAAACATCACAAATAACTTTTCAAAATGTGGAAGTTTTCCGGAGAGTGGCGAGACTAACTCCACTAAAACATTCTAAGAAATTTGCCGCCTTCCCGTAGCGGATAATTGTTTTGTACTTTTCGAGGGACTCCAGGTTGCGTATCACACATAGCCCATTTGAACAACCCCATGCTCATAACAGGTCAGACGATACTCGAATGAAGTCAGCAATTAGGATCATGGACAGGCCCGATCAATACGTTAGTTTGTCCATTTATTTCAAACACAGAGTAGTTTCGTTTCGTTTTGTTCGCGTCCGCAGGTGTCGCTAAGCGAGTGAATTTCCATTCACTCTTTCGAGTTGTAGCCTGTTCAACGCGATAACCTCTTGATCATGTGGCAATAATCCCATATGTCGTAGTCGCCAAATCGAAAGTGATCCCTGTTATTTTTTCTTGACGGAACGCACTACTTATAAGATTACTGGAACTCTCAACAGCCCACCGGTTTCGCCCTTTATGGGCCTCGCCACTTAGGTTCAGTCGCCGAGCTTCCGTCATATGTGATGTGTCGAACATCGTACCACCTGAGACGCCAAGCGGCTTTGTGTGGCACATTCTGTTGAAGAACATAGACGAATGATGCAGTCAGATTTGTGCTACAAAAATATATTCGAACGTATTGACCTTATCTCTTGCTGGTGAGCTGGTTTTATCTGATTGAAGAACTGGATGGAGCGATCTTGGACTTCGAGTACCTACTATTGTATTCGCCCATATGCTTATCATCTAAATTGATCGATGCCGCAAGGCCGCATCGTGCTGTAAGGTAGACAGTTGTGTTCGAAGAGTAACAGTTCTTGATCGTCTGCTTTCGGAATACCCTCGACGGCGCGGTTTGACGGGTACTTCTTGTTTACCTACATGCTTTTGTTTTTTGGAGGAGTATCTGATGTCTCTTGACGTGGTTGGCTGACTAAACAGGAGCTTCAGCGCAATTTCATCTGTCTGCTTACAGTCCGTGTTGTGTTGTAGTCTGTTTTCTTTCGATTTTATTGACTCTCACGATGGCTATTTCGAAGTTTTCTTGCTTTTTGATTAGCCCACTTTCAGTCTGTCTTGCGTTGTGGTTTGATCTTTTTGGGATAGAGAGGCTGATTCTGCTTCCCCATCCTTTTTCCAGTGCTTGAGTTCTGTTTGATCAGTTGACTTCATCACACAACAGTGCACTGATGTCTCCTCGTTTGGTTGCGAAAACCTCACCAGTTAATTTCCAAACTAAGTGAACAAATCAACAGAAACCTGATGAAAAACCAAAGGATTCTTCGGTGCAATTCTAATAACATGTCACTCGGGTGGCCTTATTTCTTTAGTTTAAAGTTATGAAAAGATTTCATGGAGATGTCAAGATCTAGTGTGAATTATATATCGAAGCAAGTCCATTCACAACTGAGGATATCGCTTGGAACTCGTACCGTGCCGCTGTACTCAAGCTAGTTTCTCGAGAATCCCCGAATTGGGTGAACGTGTCTATTAACCAACCGGATCACTGAATTTGAATCCAGTGGCACAATAAGTCTCAGTTTCCAGGGACGAGATGGCTCAAGTGGTTAGGGTTAGGTGAATTTACTCACCGGAAGGTCCATGGTTCGAACCTGACCTCTGCCTCTCGACTTCCCCTGTCTAGGCTTGGGTAACCTGGCACTATCTTAGCCCTCGTGTTTCCTTCTGGCGGCATGGCAGCTAGACACCGAAAGGGTGCTGCAGCTGAACGACTCGATTCAGATTGTTTAGTCTATCACAATCTTGGGGAGGTTGCTATCAGTTAGATCCCAAAGAAGGTACAGTTTAGGAGTGGGTCAGTTAATTGGTCAATCGGGGATCCCATTAGTTCAAAGTCGTTTGCAAATTGTGAGAATTAAGTTTCGTACGTATATCGGTATAACCAGACGAACTAGAAATCCAGAATTCAGCGCAGCGTAACAACCAGCACGTATGTATTCGAACTGGCGAATATGTACAGCATATGGAATATTAAAACAAGAGAATAATGAATAGAGTATCAGTCATGTTCATCACACAAATACACACGGAAACAATACTGAAAGTGATTTTTCGGATTTACAGACCAGACTGCAGGAGCTTTCTGCTGCGAAGAAGCGTCAATTCCACAAGTAATTATGTTGCCAGACTGTAACGATGAATAAGTCTCATGTATCGCTTGTGAGATTTTGGACTATGGTAATCGTAAGTGGAACGTGTAAGTCGTTTCCTGACAGGCCCGTTTGGAGGACACTGAATGGCTGAGTACAAATATTAGTTTGATTTGTATGCTGTTACCTTTCTTTAGCGGGTTTCAACCTACTTTGCAACCTCACACGGCGAAGCAAACGGGAAGTACAGTGATGGTGATACTAGGCTTATCCTCTTCCACTGATCTCTGTACCGATTCGTCTGACTGTTTCAGACCATCCCCAAAATGAGCGCCTTTGTCGAGAAGATAATTATGATAGATTCATTCTGTAACCCCTTTGAGGAAACATGCCGTCGCAAAACCAGGGTAGGAAACGCCGACTCGCTTTTGGCCGATTTCTGAAGGGAAAACAACCTGGTCTAACGCCCCATGTCATCGACTCGGGCTCATTGGCTTTCAAATAGCGCAAAGATAACTAATCAGCTGGCCCGCCGCATCAGTGAATGCTTCTTGGCCGGGCGTGAATTAGTAGGTAATTTAGCACGCAGCACTTTCGTAATTGAAACTGGTGGAATATAATGTAAACGGAGTATGGGATGAGAGCAATTACCAGACTTCCTGAAAACCTCGAAAGGCCGTTACCGTTTGCACCAACTTACGCGCACTTTGCCTTTCCATTGTCAACAGAACTTTAAAGATAGGGCGGCTGTAGGCTGTCGAAGAGTTTGCAGCAAACTCATAAGTGGCGTAGTATTACGTCAAGAAAACCCGTGTCTTTGCTTTAAAATATCTTGTTCATATGCGAGAACACTAGTGCCTATAGGATCAAATGACAGGAATTGGCGTTCATGATGCAGGTTTGCCATTTTGTACATCCGCATGCCATATACACGAATATGGTGGAAATTCTTGCGACCGCACGGCGGATATACCTAGTGAAACTGCTTGACATTTCGACCTTGACCAAGCGTCAACATAGTGTCATGTGTCCTTTGATTGATAAGGATATCATGCGTCCTGTTTCCTGCGCGTATGTATATCTGTGTTACACTGGGTCATACCTAGTCCTGTAGCTGAGTTTACGTGGCTTGTCCTGCTTCAGTCGCCTTGCTGCGCTAAATTAGGCCAGGTTAACAATGTCGGATCTGTTAGTGCACAAAGGTGTCATGTGAATAGCGATGGAATCAGCGCAGGACCTCTGTATATGTATGTCGAGATTTTGCTGTTCTCATATCAGTCATCTGTCCCCTAGTAAAGACCACGCTCCGTTTTCGAAACGTTTGGCAGTTATGTTTCCATACAATCACCAGAATATTCACCGTGAACCAACAACTCATAGCGCCCAAACTCTTTCAACTCCTTCGAACTCACAAAGAAGAGGATCAGTCATGTGCATGGAAATCACCTAAATACAACTGGCATTCCGATACCGCTATTCCCGTAGTAGGGTCTTTAGTTGTCAGCCTCATATGAGGCCACACCCCATCTTGGATGCAGTTCCGGAAGTGCTTTTTCGACGGGCGGACGGTTTCTGGAGGTTGTGTTTCGTGTAATTTTAACACTAAATGCAATTTTTGCCACTGCTGCAATACATACAACATTTAAAACAGTGTTTGTTGAATAAGGATGCGACTCTATGTTCGAAAACCCTTTCGCTTGATCCGAGGAATAACATCTTATAAACTTTGTTAGTATTGCATGACGCATTTATGCTGTGTTCAAACTTACATAATAGGCGGCCGAATTTAATTTCAAAACCGTCCAGTGACATTCAGTAGGTAGACTGGTAAGATACAGTCATTCCCTGAATTGGGAGAGCCAGGACAGTCTTTGTCGGTCGACAACTGTGATATCAGCATGAAGTCAACTTGGTTATCAAAGGTAAAGTGTAAAATACCGCGGCCCGATCTGTGCTACATCATGGGTCAAAGACTTCGCGTGTTGGACTCTTTGTGTTTGACCATCTATGTTTCCGGAGCATTGCGCTGGTAGTGCTGAAGTATACCAGGTGGTTTTCGGGGAAGTCAGTTCTCCCTTGATAGGTCAGCTGGTCGACGCTGTGTTTCGTATGCCGGAGGACCCTTTGCCTTGTAAAGCTCTATTCGTCCAGCCTTGTATCGAATGAAGGCGATTCAGGGTTCTTCAGTCCATGGTTTAGCAACGGAGCATGATAGCCCTTACTAATCCACTCATTCGCTTTGGCAATTCTTGTCTTCTGTGATTGGGATCGCCGAAGGAGACAAAAGAACGGTTGCTGGATGGATATGGCCGTCACGTATCCATTGGTGACCCTACATCAAAGCTATACTCTTCACTGCGCAACTGTTACTCCCTGTCATACTGATCGAACAGATCCATCTGACGCATTTAAACTGATTGGACCACCGCCTCGAACGTGTGACTCTATTCTCGGTCAACGAAGTGTGAGCAGTTGGAACCAATGCACTTCGGTGCATGGTTTGCGAACTGAAAAACCGAATTATCAAGTTCTGACCTTCCATACTTCCCTCTCAGTCAGTGGTTGCTGAAAAAACTATCTTCATTACTGCCCTTCCTTCGGTGTATTTTTTTGTCAGCTTTTTGTAACTACATTGTCAGTAGAAACAAAGAAACAGAAAGGCCTCGAACTAGGAATAGAGTTCATTTCGTTACGTGCGCTACTCTTCTACCCGTCTCAAAATTCACATTTAATGTGCGATCACCATTCTGTGTATGGTTTGAATTTAATGTGGTAACATCATCCCGCACGTTCCGTCTCGGTTACAATTGCCTTAAAGTTTATCGAATACTAACTGGTGACCGAGCACCAGATCAGCCCTTGTTTTGAACTAGGTGTACTCCCAATAGGAAAACCAGCTGAATGACCAGTGAAAACAGAACCCTCCTGAAAGGGACTTTACTACTCCGAAAAAAATTTGGAGGAATCGGCTAATAAGGGTCTATTCTTAGAAAGTCATTACAGAATTGGTTCCCCCGATTTAGGAGTGTACAAATCTTAGAAAGTCATTACAGAAATGGATACACCGATTTAGGAAGTGTACAAAACGTAGTGCTCTAGATCAAGCCCATCAATGGCTTAGTGGAATTTCATAACAAAATGGCCTGACAAGTCTTTGACTAAAAAAGTGTCATGGTGGACTACAGTTGTAGTGGAAGTTGCAATCTTGCGGGTTCGTATTTCCTATTCATTTGATCAGAAATACGCATCTCATTTCCCGGTATTTTCATTCCTTTTTTCACTCTACAGTTCTGTTTTGCTGTTCGTCAGCAAGGGACTCGATCAGGTATCGACGAAGCCTCCCGGCAGCCTACCTTAAGTTCGGAGTTCTGACCTAAATGTATGTTCGTTTGCAACAGATTATGATACTGCAGTGTGAATTGAAATCCGGCACACCAAAACCGAACAGTGTAGGGTTCTCACATCCCACTGGTTAGATTTGGAACCTCTATCGAACTCTATGCTTTGCCGAACATATTGTTACTCCCTAATCAGATTGCTTGGCCAAAGGCTTATCGTCGGGGTTAGATAAGTTCCGGATCGACACCGGTCAGTAAAAGCAGAGTTAAGACCCGTGTCATCTTGTTGTAACGTCCGACTCAGGTATACATATTAATGTTTAACGGTGCAAATGCGGCGAATCTGTGGGATTTGGCCTCGTTTTTGCAAGCGGAAAAAATGCCTGTGTTCATCGAAATCGTCTGATTGAAGTCGTTTTGTCTCAACTTTATCCACAGCCAGGCCGATTTTGTAATTCCGGTTGCATTCAACTACACTGCTATCCGCGTTCGTCTTGCGACTGCTCTCTGTTTATGATTTATAGTCGACTCCGGCTGTTTGGGTAAAAATCAACGCATGAGCAATTTCCGTCTGCTGCCTAGCTGTTTCTTTGGGTTCTGGAGGGAAATTCATCTCTTTGTTAACAAAAAACGGACCGGCAGAAAATTGCGATTTAATCCGTGTTTGTTCGATTTCCGATTCTCACGAAGAAGACGTAAATGTTAATTTGAAAATCTCAGTCTGGCGGATTCCACGTCTTTTCGGTCGGTGACTCTTAGTGACCAAAATTATTTCTCGAATCTATTGTGGCATTTTGATGACGCAGTTTGAAGGAGGTCCTCTTGATATACACTAATCAGGTTCCCTACAGATGCCAGTTTTTGACAACCAACGACCAATAGATAAGCTAAATCTACCTTCAATGTCTGTCACGAGCTTTAATCAACCGTTTCAACCAAGGTAGATGCATCTTTAGGGACTGCCACTGAGTGTAGAAATCTTTTTCATTGAACCTTCGAGACGTGGGGAATCGAACTAGGATATCAAGAAAACCTGCCAAACTCCTCTATTGCTTCGATCTAACAGAACTGCTCCAACAGAATATTTGTCGTATTTGGCTTCCCATGTCTTCCGTCCCTTGATTCGCTCTGCTAGTTATCTGCCCACTGAAATCTGCACAGTCGTCGACTTACTGTTTATTTTGTTTTCTTCAAAAATGAACAGAT